TAAATTCCCTCCACAAATACATTTATTATGTATTGCAAGCATGTAATGTGCTCACTTTGGCAGCACATACACTAATAAAAATAAAGATTCTAATAAAATTTTTTTTTAAATTTTAAAAATACTTATCAAAGAACTCCTTGCTCTAGCTTTAGGGATATTTTTGTCTTCTGGATATGTCATCTGCAACCACCTTCTTGTTAGAGAGAGTAAGCAGAAGAGGTTGCAAACACACACAGTCCCCTCGGGCCCAGATCCCAGACCAGGGTTCTCCTCTCTGCATTTCCTTGAGAAAGTGTGTCCAGTGTGCTGAATAACAAAGTCCTCCATTTTCTTCCATAACACTCTCTAACACGGTACCTAGAACACTGCATTGAGCACAGAAAGGACACCTTCCAGAGTCCCTGGGGAGCAGGAAATGACACCGCCAAAGAGGGAATGGATACTGCAGTGGTCATTTCTGTCACAGAAAAATGACTGAGATGTGAGAGGGCAGCAGGGAAATCCCCTCATTCTATTTTCTCATTTCATTGATAGGGAAATGAGGTCCAACATTTTGAAGTTGCCTCAATTTTTAAGTAGCACCTGTGGGAGAAGAGTTCATGTGTCCCATGTTCCTTCCTTTACAACTAAGCATCACCAACACTTGTAACTGATTGTTCAATGAGGGGATTCCATTAAATAATAAAAATATTTTGTGTAGTTGGGGGCATTAGTATTTGGTGCATATATATTTATGATTGTCATCTCTTCCTGTTGTATCGTTCCCTTTACAAGGATGTAATGACTTTCTTTGTCTCTCTTAATTAGTTTTGGTTTGACTTCTATTTGCAAATAAGATAGCTAGCCTTGCTTTTTCCAGCTTCCTGTCACATGGAGGAACCCTTCTTCATTGTTAGTGGGAGTGCAAACTGGTTCAATCGCTGAGGAAATCAATATGGAGATACCTCAAATAACTAGGATTAGAGGTCCCATTTGACCCAACTATTCCTCTGCTGAGTATCTTTCCAAAAGAATTAAAAGAATCATACCATAGTGTTATATGCACACCCATCTTTATAGCGGCACAGTTTGTAATAGCTAAAACTTGGAAACAGCCCAATTTCCCATCAGCTGGAGACTGGATAAAGAAGATGTGTTGTTTGTTTGTTTTTTTATAAAATGAAGTACTACTCAGCCATAAAGGATGAGAAACTTGAGATATGTATAGCTAAGTGGATGCACATTGAAGCCATACTCTTAAGTGAAATTAATAGGATACATGTGTAAATATCAAATAATTTCTGGTGTGAAAATCTAAAAGTGAAAATAAGGATCAAAATATATATTTGATACTCTGTAATTGGAAGAAAAGGTCTAAAGAAGTAGGTGAAGTGGGAGGGGTAGGGGAAAGGTAAAAAGGGAAAAGAAAAAATATCAGAAAAAGAAAAACATGGAAACAAAGTCTCTGTAAATAAGTAGGGTGGCAGGGGTGAAGAGAGTGCAGGGGGAATGGAGAAAAATAAAAACCAAGATATGTAAAGGTACAAGGTCCCAAGGATTAATGTAACTGTATTGTATACCTAAACTGTACCAATAGACTAAAACATCTACCAAGACCTGTCATGTAAAGGTACAAGATCCCAGTAATGAATATAACTGTACTGTATACCTAGAATGTACCAATAGACTCAATAAAAAAATAAACTAAAACATCTAAATTTAAAAAAAAAACTTCTGTAAAGTGGAATTCTGCAGACTGTCCACTGTGTACCCCTTCTGCCCTTCAGAAGCTTTCCTATCAATAAATATCTTCCTCTCTTAACTTCCATTATTCCTAGGACTCATTCCTGGATTTCTAGAGAATAAGAACTTGGTGTATCATACAGTTAACTGGTTGGGAGATGTAATATTTCACATTTCATCTCCAGTATTATTTCCTGTAACAGTTTGAGGGAAAGCATAGGTCTGAACTGTCGTGCCAGCCACAAACAAGCACAAACCTGAGAAATGGTGATAGGCCCACTTCCTTTTGGAATCAGGGACCATGACTGAGTAAGACTCTAGTACCCGACAAATAACATAACCAGAATATTCAGATGTAGTCTTGGGCATGGTGGCTGCAGCTTTAGCACCCCAGGGGAGTAAGGCAATTCTATGTAGGTAAATATTTTAAAAGACTTTGTGAGTGTCACATGGTACAGTGGTTCAAAGTTGCCACACATTTGTACTTTGCGAACTGGTAGGCTGTGGTGCTTGCCTAGGGAAGGGTTGGGCTCCATTATTTCTACTGTCAGATGCCAAGGGAAGTTATAATTTTAACACTTGACTATTTTCTAGGCAGAACGTATTTATCCTCATAGAAACTTTGCTTTCAGAAGATAATGTGCAGAGGACCTGGCCTTGTCATGGTGCCCAGAGTCACACTTGAGCCTCCGGGACCCCAGCGGACACCCTGCTTGAACACCTCCAGCTTCTGTTTAGAGGCAGGGCAACAAAGCGACTACGTTATACCTTCATATTTCTTCTCCCAGATGTTTATGTTACGCCAAATTGGGCCCCTGTGTTTTTAATCCCTTTGCAGATGAAAGAATATAGATACCTAAGATTAAGGAACAAGGACCATCTGTCTTTACAGTTGAAGCTAAATAAACTCAACTGTGAATCTCTAGGCAAAGTAATTTAAGGCAGTATGGCATAAAACAGTGAAAAACCACAATGGATAATCATCCCTTCAGCAGTTGTCATGCAGTTGCTTAACAGTACTGGGGATTGAACCTCACACTGTGGTATAACCCCAGCTTGGACTTACTTAATAGAAGCAGAACTTTGATTTTGGTTAAAACTTTTCACGCCCTTCTTCACAAAAGTGGTGATTCGCATCTGGGCTGGGGATCTAGCTCAGTGGCAGGGTGCCTGCCTCACAAGAATGAAGACATTTAAATCTGCCTATTTTGTGTGCTTAACAAATTTCAAGAGAAGTGTATTTGTATGGTCTTCAGGATTCCACATTAATGACATTTTTACTTTTGTGATTTGAAACTTCTAGCTGAGGCAGGAGGATAGCATGTATGAGAGCAGCTTGGGCAATTTAACAGTATTCTGTCTCAAAACAAAATAAAAAGGACTGGGAGATATAGCTCAGTGGTCAGCATTAGAGCACTTTACCTAGCATGAGCAAGGCCCTGGGTTCAATACCTACTACGGGGGTGGGGGCAGGGGGGCCAGCCAATGTGTACATGAGAATCATTTTGTTTTGTTTTGTGTTTTTAATTTAGGATAAGTGGGAAAACTGATCTGAATTTAGGATACTTAAAGAAATGAACAATAAGCTCAGCAAGATGGCACAGGCCTGTAATCACAGATACTTAGGAGGTAGAGGCAGAAGTTTCCCAAGTTTGACACAGGTCTGGGCAATTTAATAAGATTTTATCTCAAAATTTAAAAGGGGTCTGGGGGAGTAGCTCAGTGCTTGCATATTGTGTGTGAGACCTTGGTTTCAATATCCGGTACTGAAAAACAAGCAAACAAAAACTAATAAACATCAAAAGATGTTATCAAAGATTACTGAAGCCAGGAACATATTTGTCAGGTTGGCTGTTTATCTGGAGTGGGACATGGAGATCAGTATGGTTCCTGCCATATTAACTTGGCATTCGTTTTGGTAGAAAAAATGAAAATATATAACAACTCAGGCAAAACAATGAAAATAACAAACATGAGTAGAATGGCATGGAAATAAGTCAACAATATCCCTTAAGAATTTTAAAAAATCTTCTATAAATTCATAAAAGTAAGCTAACTGTAAAAGGTCACAAATATAGCAAAGAATCATTATCTTTAAGATTATGGTGAACTCCCCTAGGGAGGGGAAAAAACTAGTAAAAACTAAGTAGAGAAAAGAATAAATTATGTAGGTACTATTCATAAGAGATAAAATGCTAAGCTGGGTGTTGTGTCACACACCTATAATCCCAGCACTTGGGAGGCTGAGGCAGGAGGATTGCTGTGAGTTCAAGACCAGCCTGGGCTACATAGTGAGCTCCAGTTCAGTCTCAACTACATAGTGAGACCCGTCTCAAAAAAAAGAAAGAAAGAAAGAAGAAAAACATAAAATGCTATCTATTAGATATGTTGAAAAGTAATTTCTAGTCATTTGGAGCGGGACAGGATACTGGGAGTGAACTCTGGTCCTTCCCGTTGAGCTATATTCTTAACACATTTTTCACTCTTTTTTCCCTACTTTTTTTTATTAATTAGTTATACAGAGTAATGGATTTCGTTCTGGCAGAGCTGTATGTGCACAGAGCATCCTTTGATCATTTTCATACACATACAAAGGTCACCCCCTTGCTGTTTCGTATTGGAGAGGAGATATCAATACGTATATTTTGCGTATATCCATCACCCTTGTTCCCTACCCTTGCACCCCTTGCTCCTTCCTCTTATTCTCTTATCTAATCCCTGCCCATTTTAATCTTTTCTTCTGATATTTGTTCTTGCCAGAATGCCAAGTTGCCCAGGCTAGGTTTGAGCATGGAATCTTCTAGCCTGAGCCCCTCGGAGTGCTGAAATTACAGGTGTGTACTGCTATGCCTGGCTGTCGCTTTTTATTTCTGATTACCAATGATGTTAACACAGTGAAATCATTTTCACTTACACGATTTTAAAAGTGCTCTTTTGTACAATTTTTAGTGCTGCTGAGGGTTTGGTAAATTTATTTAGATACATTGCTGGGATACAATATAGGAGAAATTTATCTCCTTCAAAGAATTTGGCAATTTTGAAATAGTCATGTCTTTAAACAAAAGTTCCATTTCTAAGCATCCAAACTAAGAAAATAATTTTCCACATGTAAAAATAGCCAAATGTTTGTGTCATTTATAAGCAAACAAAGGACCATTCAAGAATCTGACAATAGGAGAGTAAGTCTGATTCCATAACTTGTAGTACAGAGGTCAGAAAATGTAGTCCTACTGGCCAAAGTCAGCCTATTGACTATTTTTATTAGCCTTTAACCCCAGACTGGTTTTTATATTTTGAAGTGGTGGGGGAAGGAGATAAAAGAGAACACTATTATCTGGCACACATAAGAATTCACACTTTGGATCCCACTCCATGTGAGATCCATGGCTGTCCCTGCTCTACAGAGGTGCAGGTCAGGAGTCCAGCAGAGACCCTGTGGCCCACAGAAAAAGTCTGCAGACCTGTTTGAAGGTCTGCACAGCCGCAGAAAGCCTTCATTTGAGAGTCTAATAGTCAGGTTGTATGTGTTCTTTATAGTGGTTGATTAAAAGGCAGGATGTAAAGGGTGTGTGTGTGTGTGTGTGTGTGTGTGTGTGTGTGTGCTCACACGTATATTATGTATTAAAAGAGGATGTAAAGGGTGTGTGTGTGTGTGTGTGTGTGTGTGTGTGTGTGTGCTCACACGTATATTAAGATGACATAAACTATTTCAGAAATCGAGATTTTCATGTTCCCAGTATTCTACAAGGGAAAGAATGTACCACACAATGATGAACAATGCTATTTAGAAGGAAAAGCAAAGCACATAGCTGTTAAATTTTATGAAAGTCAGAAAAGAATCTTTAGAACTTACCTGTCAACACAACTTTTCCAGATACAAAGATAAGCAACACAATTCGTGGTTTTACCATTCTGTAAATAAGGCCAGGAAACAGTTCAGGTTCATAACTATTAAGACAAAGAAAAAGAAAAAGTTAAAAACAGTGTTATTCATCTATATTTCCAAAACACTCAAGACCCAGTATATTATAACTGCATATCATAGTGGCTGTAAATAAGCACTGTTATCAAAACTCTTTTAGCTATCTTATTTAAAAAACAAATAGTGCTGAGTGTAGATATTTTTATTTTTCACTTGTTGCTTGGCATCGAGCCCCAAGCCTCAAGTACATTCTACCACAAGCTACATTCCCAGCCCTGAGTGCAGTATGGAAGACAGTAATAGAATTTTTGGTTCTAATATTTTTCATTTATAAGCCACCTGAGGCTATTAGGAACTGAGGTAACCTTGGTCCTCAGGATTAATGTATCATGATCTTGTTGGTTTAATGTTCTTCATCTTTGATCAAAAGCCTGCCATGGTAAACATGTTTCTGGGATTTTACCATTTCCCAATAATAAATATATTTTGTAAGCATTTATAAGTTGTTAAACATTTTTAGCCTATAGAACCTAAAAAAAAATTTTTTTCTAGACTACAGCCGTTGGTCTTTGAATTTTTTTGTTTTGTTTTGTTTTATAAGAGTAGGAAGAATTTATTGAGAGAAAGATAGCTTCTGTCTAAGAGAGACAGGAAGAGGACCAGGAAGTCGGTTGACCTGTTTTTGAATGTTTGCCATATGAGGTATGACTGAAAAATATGGTTATGTGTAAAATGTACATGTATGTAAACAGTCTCTATATATGATGTATAAAACTTTACTTTTTTTATTATAGTTGAGATACACTGTCATTAATGCCCATCTAAATAACCTCCTTATCTTCAAACATACTTATCTCTTGTTCTTGTCTCTTTCTGAAGCAGTTTAGGAAATCCCCTTCCAGGATGTCTTTAGTTGTGCTGTTGTGGCTAAGTCAGTGTCCTCAGTAAATTTAGAGTATTTATCCTTCACAGTCAATTTCATTTTAGGGCAGAGTCAGAAGCTGCACAGTGTCAGATATTTTTATTTGAAAGAAATTGATGTAAATGTTTTGCATCGATTCAGGGTATCAGAGCAACCATGAAAAGACACTCATAAAAGAGGATTCTGAGAACTGCTTCAGAAAGTGATAAGATAGCACAAGTATGTTCAACGTGTAGGGGAGAAGTCTGAGGGAGATTAATGGCAGTGTACCCTCCAGTACAATAATTATTTTAATTTAAATAAAACAATCACCACAGTTTTTATCACACTTGTACAAAGAAGGTTAAACTATTGCAAGATTGTAAACTTTAGAACTTGTTCCTCTAAATAGTAATATATTTATGTCCACTCAAATGTAAGCTGGCTTCTCCATGGAGCAAAGGGTGACGAAGCTAAAGAATTACTTCTCCATACTCCAGCTCAGAGAAGAGGACAAATTCCTAAGAGGGGCTTGAGAGCCTCCCAAACGAAGCTAGGAGGTAAGAGAAGGCTGATGAAATAAAGCTAGTCTCAAACAATGACTAATAGAACAGAGAGGAGAGAAGAAATGTGAGAGGTGGAAAATGATAATGCACATGAATCTTGGCACTAAAAGGGTGAGTCCAGATGCATGGGGGGTCCCTGTTTGGTTCTGCAACAAATAAAGCCTGTATGCATCAACAACGTTGTGAGGTTACCTCCTAAAGGACATGGATGCCAATGTAGGCATGCTTCCTGTGCCAGCACTCAGCCTTAGTGAGGATGCCTGCAAAGACTTCTTCACTGTCCCCTTGGCAGCACTAGTCGGGGCCCTGGAAGATCTGTTGGGCCAGGAAGATAATGGGTTGGGGACAGAAGAATTTCATTTGATCTAATCCTCAAGCTGAATCTTAGGACACTAAAAAAAAAAAAAAAAAAAAGTGAGAAAAAGAGAAAGAAAAAGACTGTGGTGCCTGTCATATAACAGTACAAGATCCCAGTGATGAATTAACTGTACTGTATACCTAAAATGTACCAATAAACTCAATGAGAGGAAAAAAAAGAGAGAATCAATTCATCCATTCAGTCTACCCAAAGGCAAAAATAAAACATCACACCAATACTTTCAAAAAAAAAAAAAAAAAAAACTTTGGGGCCAAAATGATAGTGAACTGCATTTGCTTTCAAAACACCGGTTTTAAGGTAACCAAAATAATGAACAGATTAGAGATTTACTTTATTGTCTGCCTCATTCTGAAAGAGGGTTGAGGCAAAATAAAGGCATAGCTTTGGTTTAGGATAGAGAACATCTCAGAGACACTGAATATATCAAACACTTCCAGTTTTTAAGGGTGTCTTTCTGTGCCTTTTATTCAGACAACTGAGATTAGGGTGGTGCCAAACCAATTACTGTAGTGGTGACATGCCCTTAAGTCTAGCACCAGACACTCTAGAGTAACCCACCTATGACTACATGAGGCTTTTGGGGGATATCTAGACCCAAACCATAATAATTCCACTCCTGGTTCCCCAAGACTCATTATGTTCCTTTACACAAAAGGCAGTTAATCCATCTCCAAGAGTTGCCAAAGTCCTAACAGTTTCAGCATTGCTGAAAAGTCCAAAGTCTCTGAGATTTAAGGCAAATTCTTAGCTACAAGCCCCTGTACAAATGAAAACAAAGTTAAATACTTCCTACATACAATGGCACAAGATAAACATTACCTCAAAAGATACAAATAGGCTGGTACAAAGGAATGGGACCAAGGTAAGACCAAAGTCCAGCAGTGCAAACATTAAGTTCTATAGTTCCATGTGCAGTACGCAAGGCAGTCTGGTGACATGTCAACTCCAAAGAGGTCGGGTGGCTCCACCCCTGTGGTACTTCTGGTAGTTGTTCCCATGGCTTCTCTCTGGGGCTGGTTCAGCTTCCTCACAGTTTTTATGAGACAGTCCACCATCCTTGTCTCTCCAAACTTCTGGGGTCTCTACTGCACCTTCAGCTTCACACTCAGCTTCACACACTGCCCTCTTCAGGGCACACTGCCTCGCCTCCAGCCTCTTCTGAAATCTGGGTAGAAACCTTTCTCACCTCAACTCTTCCATTCTGCCTGCATCTATGACCAGCACCACATGGATGATGCCAAGGTCTGCTATCAGCTGGAGTAGTAGCCAGGCTTACTTCTCTCTTGGCTGTAGGGGTTGAGTGCCTGGATCACTGAGCACTCTAAATCCAATTCTAAGGAATAAATTTTCTAGGCCGCCGCCATTCTGGAACATGGTGCTCTGGGGCTCTTCAAAGCAGTCTTTCACTTTTGCAAGTCTGAGGCTGCAAAGGGTGGAGTCCTGCTGTTTCTTGTGATAACCTCAGGCCATCTTTTCTATTCTGTTAGCAATCAAAATCTCTGCTCCATCTTTGCAGACTGAAACTATTAGAGCTTCATTTTTGGCCAAACTCAAAATATTTTAAATAATTCTGCTGGCCTTTTTGCTCTTGACTCTCAACATAGATCTGGCTAAAAGCCCCAACAGCAGCCATGCCACTGCCTCAACATTAGACTGCCTTGAAATTTATTCTGTGAGATTAGTCTGTCACCCTTAATCTCAGTCTCAGTCAGCTCTGGACATGAGCAAAATGCAGACAAACTTTCTGCCAAGCCATAAAACACATTGGAGTCCAACAGCCAATGTAGTCTTTCCCAGCCAAAACCTCCTGAGTCTGGTCCACAGCAGTTCTCTGGTCTTCTGAGCTCTGACTAAAATATCCCATACAGAACAGCCTAAGGAGTTCCAGTAGCTCTACTTTTTCAGCTGCCATCTTAATCTTTCCTAATTCTTAACCTTCCAATGAGCCAGTTCCAAAGGCTCTTGAGCCACAGGTCCAGGTAATGTCACAGCAATGACCTCACTTCTCTGGTACCAAATTTCTGTCATAGTTACTTTTCTCTCATTGCTGATACAAAATACCTGATACCCAAAGTTAAAGGGGAAAGGGTTTACTTAGCTCAGTTTGTAGAGGTTTCAGTCCATGATCAGCTGGCTCCAAGACATAGTGGCACATGGCAGAGGGGCACCACAGAGGAGAAACAGTTCATGGTGCCCACAGCTAAACCAAGGGAACCTCCCAATTTCTTGGCCAACCTAGCTTTGACTCATTCTTCAGTTCTCACCCTCAGAATTATTCCTTGACCTCTCCCCACCCTCAGTTACAGTTAAGTACCCTGCTTAGAATCCCACAGTACTCTAAAGGGCCTATATCATCATTATCAAAAGCATGTCTGCCTTTCCTTTCAGTGAACTCTCCATGGTCAGGGACTATGACTATATAGCTTTCCAGTATTACCTTAGAATCTGCTACCTAGTACAGTAGTCACCTAGATATTGTGTGTGTGCTATTTGGGGATTGAACACATAGGGCCTTCACAATGAGCTACTGGCCCACCCTACCACCCCACAAGGATCTTGCTGAGTTGCTTAGGCTGGGCTCAAACTTTTGATCCTTCTGCGTCAGCCTCCCAGAATGCTGGGATTTCAGAAAGATGCCACCATGCCTATCTTGGTTTCATCATTTAATTTGCTAAGTAATCCACACTGGCCTTGAACTCACTATGTAGCCAGACAACAATCCTCTGGCCTCAGCTTCCTGAGTGCAGGAATCAGATATGTGCCATCACACCTGGCTATAACAAATATTTATCCATATGTTTTTTAGTTAAAAACTGAACAAAACGGAAAGAGCTTATATAAAACTGTAAGTATGATCATAGCAAAGAAAAATTGACAGGGACGATTCCCAGTTTAATAGAAATCCTTAGATGCTGATACACAAATTTACAGTACCTGGGGAATTAAACTTCAGATTTTAAAGTAATGCAAAAGTCACCTGATATTTATAACTGATGTGTGTCATATTCCCCACAGATCTACAGACAATTAAAAAGATCTATTTCTTTGCTGGGAACAAGGCATTTTTAAAATCCCCCACTATCAAGAATACTCATGCTGGAGTTATCCATAACCTGAGGATGAAAGCCAGATGGAGAGCATTCAGGGGAGGCAAAAATGAGACTAGAAAGAGACAGCTAA